TCCTGGAAGAAAGAGTAGGCAGCGCAATGGAGGGCGAGCAGGAAAACCGGCGGCATTATCTGCATCCCCGGCGCTCCAGCAAGGCAGCCCATCAGCAGCGCAGCGGTCCCTGCGGCCAAACCCACCGCCCCCGGCACACAGCGCGGGCTGCCGCTGCACCAGGGCAGTGGGAACCTGCCTCACCCTGCAACATGGGCTGCCTGGCCTGAATAAATGACAGGCTTCGAGAGGCAGCTCGTACCACTCCCTAGAGAGCAGCACCGTTATCCACACAGGGCTTTTCAGCGCTGGCATTTGCAGGCAAAGACGAGGCCTCGGTACCCAGTCCCCGGCGAAGGAGCATCACAGCTCGGTAGCCTTAACTCTGGCCTCCGTATTGCTCCATTTCCCACCACCCTCATTAGAGGGACATGGGGAATATGCATGAGTCGTAATTTATCAGCAGGAGGGCAGGAAACTGTCCTTTCATCTCAGGGGAAACATTCAGCGGAAAACATGTCTGATCCTGAGCTGGGTAAGACAACTGCTGTGAAGGAACAGCCAGTTCACTCCATCCGCTGCCTCCTTTCAAGAAATCTGAAATGATTGTATTGATGGCAACATTTGTAACCCCAAATTTCAAACCTCAAAATAAGAGCAATGGTGAAGCAAACACGAGCTCCCATGTAGAAAATACCCAAATAGGATTCAACACTTCCAAGCACAATTATTTCTTATGGGAAATAAGAAATTCAGACTTTTTCCTGGAGAGAGTTTCATTTGATGAACTGACTGTGCGACAAAAAAACATCCAATAAAAAATTTCCCAGGCTGCTCCAATTGGCACGAGCATCTGGCAATGTCCTTGCTGTTTCCCAAGAACAAGGCAGAATTCTGACTTGCGTTTGAAGCTGATTAATGTCCCAAAATACACAGAAAGGAGGTCTTCTTTTTTTGGAAGAGTCGTATTGTTTCTGAGTCAGGCACTGATATGCAAATGCAAGATAATGTAGCTGAGCTTGTGATGGAAAACATGTCAAATAGCTATTTTTTTGCAGAAAGAGAGAGGCGTTTTCAACCTTTTCACCCCTGGGCTAGATAAGCTGGGCACAATCAGACAGAAGATACAGCCCCGGCTCCGCAGACCCTGCCCCAGCCGGCAAGGGCCTGGGAAGGCAGACTACATGGCCCAGGGCCGCTGCTCAGGGACACACAGCCCAGGATTCACTTTCCCCATCCTTCTCCTAGTGTGGCTGAAGCTGCGAATACTATTTTTAGGGGAAGAAAAGGCCATTTTCAGGCTAGCCCACCTGCACCTTCCTGTTTGGCACCCCACTGGCAGTCCACAGGAGATGTCTGGGTGCCAAGGAGGAGCGCTGTGATCCCGGTTTGGGCTGTTCAGGATGGGTGGGAAAGTGCCCGCTGCAAACAGTCACCACTCGTGCCAGGAGGATGAGGCTCTCGGATCCCACCTGCCTGATCGAGGCTGAGGGCCACCCCATGCCAGGGACAAAGACCCCAGCGAGATGGGTCTCAGAGCAACCCCGATGTCCAAAGGAGCATCCTCATGGCCACTCCAAAATCCTGCAATGCGGGGAGCTGTGCAAGCCATGCTCTTTCCAAGATCTTGAGGAAGAGGAATCTTTTTTGGCAGTCCCCAGGGTGTCTCCCATCAGCACCAGAAAATAGCAAAGAGGATGGAAGAGGGAGAGGACGGAGCCATCGGGACACCACAGACGGGCACGCAACGGTCTTGGCATTTGGGCTGTGGATGGAGGCACAACCCCAAGTCCTAACTGCAATTTAATGGAGGAAGGCAAACCCGAACCCCAGACCTGTGGGTAGGAATTACCCGGTTTGGGGTAAGGGCCCCAGGAAGCCCCATGATGCAGCAAGGCATGCCAGACCAGGCGGCAGCACTGGGGCAGCAGTGAACGACAGGGTGGTGGGCAGCCTGGCCTCCGCTTCCTGGGCAGTAAACAAAAATCTCCTTCTCCCAGGAATGCAGCGAGGCCAGTCTTGCCCTGCGAGGCACCGGGGAAGTTCCTGCTCTTGTGCGGGACAGGCAGGAAAGAGTCTCCTGAAATTGCTGCTCCTGTCGACAGTGAGGCACAGGTTTGCACAGTGCTTTCCAGGTCATGGGGTGCACGACAAACACCATTGCCAGCCTCTCGCCAGCTCAAGGAGCCCAAAGCATTTCACAACCCTCACCCCAGGCAGCGGGTGAGCGGCCTCCTCCCTGCCATACAGGCAGCGACAAGGGCAGGCAGGTTAAGGGCTTTGCCCAGGAAAACAGCCACAAAGCCAGGAACGGAGCTGCAGATGCTCTGCCTCCAAAGGCCAGACCCCACTTTCTGGCCAACTGTTTGAGATTTCCAGTCAGGCCAAGGTAACCACCTGGTGAACTACTGCGCTGTCAGAAGAGGCAGGCTGCGGTGCAATGCGGCTCATCCCTGCCCCGGGAAGGCAGTTTCGGGTGCGAAGAGCCAGCCAGGATGTGCCGAGGGTCCCAAAAGCTGTTGCTCACGAGCCCCAGCACCGGTGGAGCTGGTATATTGTGCTTTAAAAGCCTTCTGCTCACCCGAGCGGCCACAGGAATCGCACAAGCCTTTTTCTCCGGTTTCACTGAGCCCTGCTGGAGGAGAGGGGTGTGAAGAGAGGCCGGGGCTCTCCCGTGTATGGATTTGCCGTGGGTCAGAAGCCAGGCAGCCCGCTGGCAGGTGATGCCGGTCACAGGCACTGGCAGTTGGAGGGACAGACACACAGGATTGGCTGGAGCAGCTTTACCATGGTGCCAGCTCTGCCCCTCCTAACCGGAGCACAGGGTAAGTGAGAAATGGCCCCCTCAGCCCAGGGCTTGCGGAGCAGGACATATGGAGAGAAGGAACAAGCTGATCCCTCTGCAGCAGTCACTGCAGCCCCCAGAGTCCTACTGGGGTGCAGGGTGTGCTCGCTCTGAAGGCTGAGCTGAGGGAATGCCTCCAGGGAGGTAGCGAAGCAGCGACGTGCAGCCCCGCTCCCTCGGTCCCTGCAGAGAGACCTCTCACTCACCCAGCCAGGTAGACATGAGCACTCCGGCTGCTCAGCAGCTCCCACACCAGCCTTCGGTTCTCCTGGATGCGGTGCTGAACATAAACCTTCTCCTCCTGCAGGGAAACACAGCGCTGAGCCCGCCAGCCCTGGCAGCAGCCCCAGCCCCAGCTCCAGCACGCCTGCCGGGCCCCTGGGGACTGTTCTCAGGGGCTGTTTGCAAAATCTCGGGGCAGTGCAGCCCCCCAGCACGGGGGGCACTGGGAGAGGCAGTTAGATTAACTCTCACACAGGGAAGGGAATCCCCACACCTCATGTCAGTGCGCTGGGATGGATTGGATTGGTGGGAGATGGGTGCAGGAGAAGGAGCTTCTGTGAGGAACATGCCCCAAGTAGGCCCCCCAAATCCTTTGGCTGCCCTCTGCCTGCTCCAGCTGTGGTGAACAGCCAGAGCCATGAGCTGGGAGCCCCTGTGAGGGCTCCCCTCCCGCCCTCTCCTCTCCCAGCATGGGCAGAGGCTTGGTGGCCGCCCTGTCCCAGGGCTGCTGCAGGGCAGAGACCCTTCCCCACACCCCTGGCTGCCAGTCCCAGCCCTGTCACCTGCTGGAGGCCTGAAACAGCTCGGAAGGGCAGGAAGCTTGGAGAGACAGCCTCAGTTCCACTCCCTGCCCCTCCACTGTGCTTAGAGACTGGATACAACTAGCTTTTGGCACAGTACAGCCCAACCGAGGAGAGGTCCCAAAGGGTTAATCCACAAGACTTCACACATCCAAGCAACTGCCTACGGCCCTGGCTTCTGCCCAAGAGGAACACCATTGCCAACGTGCCTGAATTCACTGGCTCGTCGGTGACAAAGGTGACACTGTGATGGAGGCCAGGCCCTCTGCCGCACGTCCCACCACGCGGGACTCTGCACAGCAGTGAGCTGAGTCGCAGGCGCAGCCTCCTCCCCATGTCCTCCTCCCTCCTGTCCAGCCCCAAAGGCAACAAGGCTTTTGCTGCGATTCAGGCTCCCTGCACGCTGCAGTCTGGAGGTGTGCGTGGGAACAACCCCGAGCAGCAACCAGCCCTGACTGTCACAAGAGCTGGTCACAGTGCAGTCAGCAGGTCCCACGCGGCTCCACTGGCTGCATTGCACTGGAGCGTCAGGTCATCCCCGGGCACGGCCCTACTGCTCCGACCCAGCCACCAGCGATGCAGGAGGTAAGCAAGCCCGTCGCAAGCACCAACACAGCCAGCCAGTAGCTCAGCTTCAGCATCATTAACGTTAATCAGCTAAGTGCTGACAGAGGCTCTGCCAATGAGGCTGGGGCTCTGAGCAGGTCATTTAAGGACCTGCAGCTACCTAGAAACCAGAGCACCCCAGTGACAAACTCGGGTCACGACGTCTCAGCTAAACCCCAGGGCATCCTGCTGAGAATTAGCAATAGCCGCATTAGGCTGGGATCAATCAGTCCGCACCGCGGGGCAGACATGATGTGACAGAAGGTCACTGCAAAGGGGACCTTACGGAGAGAAGAGGGAAATCCTGCTTAGATACGGAGCACCCCAGCTTCTGCCGGCTCTTTCTAAACAAACTTTTTGATGAGTTAACGGCTGTGGTATCTCCTAGAGCTGCAGGCAGGATGGCCCGATGCGGCACATCCTACCTGGCTGCGCTCCCACTCGCCTCCCTGTGCGGCACTGCAAGGACACAGTGGCAGAAGACCCTGATGACAAACTGCTTCGCCCCCCGAAGCATGCAGAGAAGGGAGGCCGGGAGCACACTCCAATGCAAGTCCCAACCCTCCAGAGTCTGCGAGGGCAGGAGGAGGCTCTGGAGACGCTCTCCAGATTTGGGGAGCAGCAGGTCCACCCTTCACTGTGTGAGCCATCAGAAAAAAGGCAGACTGGTCATCCAATAAACCTCTGCAGTGCTGCTCCTGTTCATCAAAGACTTGGAAAGCCTTCACAGAGGCATTCAACTCATGCCTTACAAGTGACTGGATAAAAGATGCTGGCTTCGTGTCAATGCATGCACACAGCCAGGAGAAAAGGACTGGTGCAACTGAACTACTGAGAAATACCCATTCTCACTGACCCTTTTTATCAGATCTCTCTATTTCAAAGGCAGGCTGAGCTTTCAGTGCCATCAAGGGACAGGGCAAGGCAGCGAAACAGAGTCCCAGCTCACGGAGCCTCTCCGGCAATGTAAAAAGCCCTGCAGCCCAGAGAGGGGCTGAGAGCTGCCCTCCAAAGACACTGCCTGGGAAATAAGGGAGCAAAGTGAGGGGCTGAGTTGTGGCGTGCTCGTACCTCTGGGGAGCTTTCTCCTGCACGGCCGAGGCTCGGGGACAGCTGGCTCAGAGGCACCACGAGCTGGGGCAGGAGGCCAAGCTCCTCAGCTTCAGCCAGCAAGGGAGGGACATGGTGGGGAGGGTGGCACTCAACCAAGAAAGGTTACTGCCTGGTGACCCCCCCCAAGAGGCTTGGGAGCCTTTTATCACTCATGTCGTCCAGCCAAACAAAGCTGGCTAATGCCTTATCTGCTCCGGCACTCGCCAGCCCTGTCCCAGCAACCTTTCTAGCTCAACTCAGCCAGACATGTCCCGGCTGGGCAGCACCACTGTGCTGCTGGTGGGGATCCCGGCCAGCACCCAGGTGGTGCAGGGGATTGAGGTGACCACTGTGCCACCCCACCAGGCCCTTCATGGGCCATGCCCACAGGTACAGGGGCTAGAAACACTGGCAGACTCCCGTCAGTGCTGCCTGACAT